ACCTAAATATTTAGGTTAAATATTTAGGTAGCAGCTAAATATTTAAGTTGCAACTTAAATATTTAGCCAGCAAGTTAAATATTTAGCTAGCAAGTTAAATATTCAGCTAGCAAGTTAAATATTTAGCTAGCAAGTTAAATATTTAGGTAGCTAGCTAAATATTTATCGTATTTATTCAAGTATAATGCGTAAAATTTAATCCATAAAATGATACATAAAGTTGAGGGGTAATATACTCAGATAAATATTTTTACTTATTTAAGTGAAATATCGGCAAAATTATTGAGTCCGGAAAGCGCTGTAAAATGCAGTTGAAACGAGCTCACCTGTGACACTCCTCTGTGCTTTAGAGCGAGATAATAACAGATCCAGGCAGGAGGCATGATGTGAAAAAAGGGGGAAAAAACAGTCCTGCAGCTCAGTAATGACAACAAACTAATGACATTGGCATGTGACCGAGCCGCTCCTGGAACAACAACAAACACATGTTCGTCTGTAATGGCTGCTGTCTACCGGTGTTCTAAAAAAACTTTGTATCCCTGAAAAATGTTTCCCCACCAGAGGGGGCACTCRTGAGTAGGAAGTAATCTGCTTGTATCTGCTTGAAGATGGCCCAAATCTCACTGGATAGGCGGAAGAAAATGGATGGATGGATGGATGGATGGATGGATGGATCATATGGTGAAAAACTGAATTTGAAAAATAAATCTGTTTGTTTTTCTAACAAAAGGCTAAATAAAACAAAAATATTGGTGGTAATTTTTGACTGTGTAACTTTACAAATGGCACCCCATACTAAACAATTTCAACAGACATTTTTTAAAGTGGATGAATTTCCGTACCGACTCATATTGGTTGTATTTTCAGGCCGTATGTTTACGCAGTCCACTCAGAGCAGCCGGACACCTTCGGCCATCGCCTCGGACCGCTCAGCAAYGAGGTGCGTGTCGGAGAAGTTGTACTTTCTTCTGCTATATTCTTGATTAATTAAATGTTCGAATCACGCATTATTAGCTGGACAACCCTCTGAGAGAAATCGACAACATCATCGGTCAGCTGATGAACGGACTGAAGCAGATGAAGCTGCATCGTTGTGTCAACGTCATCATTGTAGGAGACCACGGTACTCTGACTCCTCCACAGTTACTCTTCTGTTTTTGTAAAAGATGCAAAGATTAGAAAATATAAACAATTTAAAATGTATATTTAAATTATTTTCACCTGGAGACAGATTTTCTGTAAAATATATAACAAGTTGTGCTTTAACTTTACCGTAACAGACAGTTTTGTCGCAGTAACTTGTGTTTAGGTGTCCTGATATTTTAATTATTATAAAAATGTGTCTGTATTTACTGACAGGAATGGAGGAAGCTCACTGTGACAGAACAGAGTTCCTCAGCAACTACCCTCTCAACCTGGACGACATCATGCTCATCCCCGGCTCCATTGGTAGAATACGTCCCCGTGACTCAAAATCCACCACATGTAAGAAAAAACAAAAACAGAGTGACTTAACTGAATATAAAGCTTAAATATAAACAAGTTTCATGTTTCTCAATTGTCCACTTGACAGATGACCCAAAAGTTGTGGTGGCAAACCTGACAGTAAGTATCAGAGCACAATCAATGCTGTAAAACACAGATGTAACTAAAACTGAATACATTTGTTTATTGTAAGAGCTCAGGTTTAGATTTTGTGTTTCAGTGTAAAATGCCAACTCAGCACTTTAAACCGTACCTGAAGCAGCATTTACCCAAAAGGCTTCACTACATCAGAAACCGCAGGATTGAGGACGTCCAGCTGCTGATGGAGAGGAAGTGGCACATCGCAAAGTTTGTTCCATCCTGTTTTATCTGTTAACCAAGGTTTTATTTAGTCAGTTAGTTTATTGTGGATAATTTTTTCTCCAGCTCAGCATTTGACACATATCCTGAATACATTCTCAAATCAGATAAAAAAAATAAATAAATACTTATAAAAATGAAGTTTGTAGCTTTTCATTTTCTGTAAAATAAAATGTGTTCTCGTACACACTATCTTCTCAATTTAATTGCTGGATTTTTTTAAATTTAATTCTTTTTTTATTCCTCAGGAAAATGCCAGAGAAGCTGAGGACTAGGTGTGGGTTCTTTGGTGACCACGGCTTTGACAACAAGATAACGAGCATGAGGGTACAAGTGCTGTTGTGTTACTCGTTATTATATTTTTACTGCATTTCCTTGACAATTGCATTCATTTTGAGTCTATATGTTGCTATTAAAATAATGATTTGCACTAAAGAAACAGTTTGATTGGGGATCCTCAGGGAACATGTCTGTAGGCTGTCGTGTGTTTCACTTCAACTTTTTTTCTTGTTGTACTCAGACGATCTTCATCGGCCACGGACCCAGCTTCAAATTCCGTACGAGAGTGCCAGAATTTGAAAACATAGAGTTATACAACGTCATGTGTGGTGAGTAAACGTTTTGTTTGTTTGCTTGGTGATAAGAATTAAAGGAGCTTAAAAATGTAGAAAATTTTTATGTAATGTAAACTTTTCATTTAATCTGAGTCACATACAGAATGCAGCTAGTTAAAAATGCCAACATTTTGAGGAAAATCAATATAAAATAATACCAGCTGCATTGCTTCTTGGATTGTTTCGAATGTTTTTAAGATAATTTTGTTTAAAGTTCTGATGAAGACTAAACAGATTTAGATTTTAAGAAACATCCATGTTAAAGAAGAGTTTTTACTTGTTGTCTTGCATCAGACTTGTTGGGTCTGAAGCCGGCTCCAAACAACGGGACACACGGCAGCCTGAACGACATCCTGAGAACCCCCCAGTTCCAGCCCACCATGCCCCAGGAAGTCACGCCCCCAACACCGGCGTCTGACGCCGAGGTCACCGTGAGCCGTGATCTGGGCTGCAGCTGTGATGATGAGGTCTGAGGACATCCAACTGTACAGCCATCCATCTGTACATCCATCCATCTGTACATCCATCCATCCATCCATCCATCCATCTGTACATCCATCCATCCATCCATCTGTACATCCATCCATCCATCCATCCATCCATCTGTACATCCATCCATCCATCCATCCATCCATCCATCCATCTGTACATCCATCTGCACATCCATCTGTACTTCCATCCATCCATCCATCCATCCATCCATCTGTACATCCATACATCCATCCATCTGTACATCCATACATCCATCCATCTGTACATCCATCCATCCATCCATCTGTACATCCATCCATCCATCTGTACATCCATCCATCCATCTGTACATCCATCCATCC